GAGAGACAGAGAGAGAGAGAGAGAGAGGAGAGGGGGTGTAGAGAGAGAGAGGAGAGAGGTGTAGAGAGAGAGAGAGAGAGGAGAGGGGGGTAGAGAGAGAGAGAGCGCGCACGAAAGGGGGTTGGGGAGAGAGACAGAGAAAGAGAAAGAGATGTGATATTGGTATCACACCCCCACACACAACGCCTATTAATGGTCGCAATTTCCCAGATACTGAACCAGGCCACATCTGTGTGTCTTCAAGACCTGAACACAAATCCAGACTTTTGTTGGTAAATGGCAAGGAACGTTTGTGCCACACAAATGCCAATTAACGACCATCTCCAACAAGAGAGAATTTAACCGCTGCCCCTTTGATGTTCAATCAACCTCTTGGGGGTTCCCATTCATCAGGAACTGAATGGGAGTCAGCCATATCAATACTGTGGCTACAACAGCAGGTCAGAGGCTGGGAATCCTGGAGCAAGAGACTCACCTCCCACATTCCCCCCCAAAGCCTGTCCCACCATTGACCAGGTACAAGGCAGGAGGGTGATGGAATACTCCCCACTGGCCTGAATGTGGGCAGCTCCAAGAACACCGAGACTAAGCAGCATTCCCTCCACCCCTGCTCAATTGGGATGCTAACCCCACATCCTCCGCCTTCAACACTCACTCCCCTCCACCGCCGATGCACAGCAGCAGCTGGGCTCATTAGGAATGCTCGGCTGAGCTCCAACACCGACGCACGGCCGCAGCAGCAGTGTGTACCGTCTGTAAGACACACTGCAGCGACTAGCCAGGGCTCCTCCAACAGCACCTTCCAAACCCATCGCCTCTAGCCCCTGGAAGGTCAACGGGCATTGTGGGGGGGGGTTCCCCTCCGAGACCCCAACAAGGACAGCGGCCGTTCCTTCAGCGAGTCCTGGAACGGTCTCCCTAACGGGGCACTGTGCGGGCTTGTCCCTAGCCACACGGCTGGGGGTGACCGTAGCGGGTCAAGGTGGCAGCTCACCACCACCACTACCACCTTCTAGAGGGCACAATAAGGGATGCTCCTGTCACACGAGGATAAGTGTGGCCGCGCGGGACAGCTACTCACCATGATGGGAGATGACGCCACCTTGACAGTAGCTGGCAGCGTGGAGCCAGGCGCGACTGCCACTGTCTTGATCATGGTGGAGCCCGGCACGCCGAGGACAGTGGAGATGGTGGTCGGCGGAATTTTCTGCGTGGCCGCTGCCGCCGCTGCCAGAGCTGCCATCCCGCTCATCTGCGTAGCGCCTCCGATCGTCTGCGGGAGAAGCACAAGCAAAACTGCAGGACACGATCGCAAAGCAAAAAACAAAAAAATGTCAACTCTAAAAAGGAGACCGCAGCGGCAGAGGGGACGGTGCCGAGGGCTTTGTGAGCGGGCACCAATGGGGTTCAGGCCAAAAATCAAACCAGCTCCGATTAAAAGCGTTCCGGGGAGAGCCCGGCAGGGAATAGGCAGGCCACGGGACATTCCTCACTTGGGGACGGCACGTGGTTTGGGCACATTGTCCTTGTTGTACAAGGTCACACCGAGGCTACACCAATAGCCATCAGATCTGAGCGAGAGCGGCACCAGGCTGTGGTCAGGGCACACAGACTCTCATTCGAGGGGATTGTTTTCTCTGCAAGTGGGGCGGCTGATCGAATAAACACAACGATCTCAAAGGACGGGACAGAGAGAGACAGCACCGAGTCCTGGGTTTTTTCAAATATTAACATTCTTGAATGGTTACTGCCCTACAAGGAGGTGACGAAAGGTGCTACACGAATGCAGATCATCACCAATGCTTCCCAGATCCTGTTCTGTCACTATGACAATTGCCCACGCAGGCAGCAATAAATTATCGGGGGGGGGGGGTTGGTGGGGGCTCTGAACCAATGATGGGGTCTGCGCTGGTCATCGACATGCCCAGAGGTGCCCACGACGAGGAAACTCCCACATACGGCTGACTCACCATGCCTTGGGTGCCCTGGGCTGGCACTACCATGTGGACTCCGGTCGACAGCGTTGTCACAGGGACTGGCACCTTCCCCTGGCTCCCTGTCGGCCTCACAGCAATGAGGGAGGTCCCACTCGACAGGACGGTCGGTGCCTGAGGCGATGCCACCCGCAGAACCGCTGTCGTACCTGGCGGAGATAGAGAAACCAAGGGCAGAGCTCAGGGCATCTCCATCTCAGTCACCCCCTGCAGCC